GTCTTTCACATTAAATTCCAGTGAAATATATTTATGTTTGTGGTTGTAATGTGACAAAATATGGAAAAGTTCAAGGGGTATGAATACTTTTGCAAACCACTGTATATGAATAAAAACATTAATAATTTAGGTTTAGCTCCAGAATCAGTATTTGTAGTTGCATCTTGTTTAGCATCTTATTGCAGCATAAATTTCATCAGCAAAGTTGCTAAACTTACATTYAAAAATCAGTTCTTTGGTCCATGGTGAATTTCCAAACTACAGCGACTTGGTAAACAAATAAAAACTCCCCCGTCTTCATTTCTCCGTTCAGTTTGCTATCCTCGGCCGGGAAAGATGCTCAAATGCATCCTTGATTTTTGGGATTTTATGGGCCACACTCCTCGGCCGCATGATGATGGCCTTTGAATCGGGACAGCACTCGACGCAGGGCAGTGAAATATGCGGCCGACAAATGTGCACCCATGAGGATGCAGCCCCTGAATTGAGATGCAGCCCAAAGTGCTGCCATAAATATCACATTTTTGCAGACTGGATTGCAAATTAGAGACTTTTTTGAGTCATACATACCTGGATACATAGTCTTAGCTCAAACCAATGTTGATGACATGAAGTCACCTTGAAGACTTTATATGCTAAAGTTTGAATGTTGCGTCCAAGGATTTTTAGACTTCCTTGCTGTACAAAATCAGAATCCTAGAGGGATGCGTCTTTGTGTGAACTGTACCAAATGTGTTTAATGAATAAATGTCATGTTTTAGGTTGTGAAATGGTTTAAAGTTGAGTCTGTTTTTCTTCTTTCTGTGCACTGACTTCTTTGTTTTGTGTCCTTTTTTGTTCCTGCCAGGAGCGCAGCAGAAATAAACAGTAGCCTTCAAGCAAGCTCCCCCCGCTCAAACAGCAACACTAACAATGAAGGCCCTTAAATCAAATTGGCCCAACCACACAGAGGAGAGGCTCTCAACCTTTCCTCTGCCGACGACGACGTGTCTGAACACTTGAACACAACGATAGGTGGACTCATCTGTATTTGTTTGACTGGTGCATCAAACCTCGTTCTCCCGTCTCGTGAGAAAACGAACGCAGTCCTGTCTGTCTTTTAAAGCACTTTCAGTCCTCTTAAAGAGCTTCTACAAATACCTTAACTTTAACGTTTTGTTTGTGAGCAACTAACTAATTAACCAGAGTAGTCAGGCAATTTCACTGAGCTTATTTGTTTTGTTTTCAGTTGTTTTTGGATGTTAGTGAGCTTCATCTAGCCCTGAAGAGAACTAAAAGTGTTTAAATTAATCTTAAATCTGGATTCACCTGTCTGATCCTTTCACATTCATCCTTTGACAGGTGGGACTAAATATTTGGGGAAACCGCTGCAGTCATGCCAATCATAAGGTTTTATTCTACATGTTCTCTTTTTCTTTCTGCGTCTGTTTCTGTGTACGGAAAGATTATGATTATGCAGCAAGCTGGTGACTGCCAGCTTGTGCACATTCTCTCTCTCTTTTTTTTGCTTTTGTTTTTCTTCTCTTTTGTGGTTTCTGTCATTCTGAAGTGCATTTGTCTGAGGAGAAACCTGCTTTGGTAGAGTTGGCCGTGGCCTCCTTCGGCCCTGTCGGTGACCGTCTTTGCTCTGATGTTGACAGAAACAAACCTCAGGCTTAATCAGACTGTCTGTCCTCAACAACTCTCCTTTTATTTAATTTTTTTATGGGGGGTCAAGTCAGTCGACTTGCATTATCCCCCCCACAAAAAAATAAAAATAAAAAGGGGCAAATCATGAACTGTAAGAGTGACAGTTTTCTCCTCTTGGCAACTCATTAAGCTAAATAAAGAAAAATACTCATGTTTAGCGCAAACACTGGTTTTGTGTATTCATTTTTTGCGTTTCCTCAAACAGTCTTTAAACTTTACATCGTGTGTTATTTACTGGATATCACGTCTGATTAGAAAGAATTCTGCAGCACCAGCAGGTACTAATGTTTCAATTTGCGTAAGTGCTTCTAAATAAACAAGATGGCTGAAACTCCCTCACCGCAGAGTTTCTGCTTATTACAGAGGAAGAGTGCAGAGTGTTTTGTGAGTGAGAATCATTGTGTTATTAAAAAAAACAAATGGGAGCAATAAATACAATGAATGATGCATGTGAGATGTGGAAACCAGCTTACCAAAGAACTTCTTGTAAACTGGTACAAATCTGTAGGATAATGGTTTTATGGCAAAGCTAGAGTGCATTTACTCATGTTGGTTTTAGAGTGAATTTCAGTTTTACTGCATTTACCAGTCAGAGACAGATATGTTGCTTTTATTCCATGATGTTCACAAACTATAAAGATTTTACCAACACACATGACAGAATACATGGTATTGTTACATTATTTTGTATATACACATAGCACAAAAAAGCAAGAAAATGTGTTTGCTAGATTATTTTTTTCAATGCTTCTTGGCAATAAAAACCTGGCTGATTGGCAGCACCTGGAGGTACCACAGGCTCAAAACAAGTGCAATAAACAACAGCAAAATCTGCRTATTTTTCATGTGTGCAACCCACATACTCTACTGCTCATCCCACCRATGCATGTTCCTTACAAATGTGGGATCACTTAAAAGGAAAACAGACTTTCCATTGGTGTACGATTTCTTGCCAAGAAGCATTGTTACAACAGAAMTAATCTGCTRAACACAAATTTCCTTACTTTTTGTGCTAAGTTTTTATATACATACATACACACATCATATTGTTAGCCAAAGATTCCTCTTACAGAATTAAATGTATAATTCAGATTATTTAAAGAGGGGTTTTATGGAAAAATGAACAGATACCTTTTGAAAAAGGCTCTTTGATTAATCTTATTTATAGAAAGAGTTATAATGGCTCTCAGTATGGTCAGAATTTCACACTGAATTAATTCAAAAAGCTATCCATATGTAATGTGATAAATATAACTTTTTCAATAAATCTGTGCTTCAAAAGATTCAATGGCATTTCACCCAGATTACCTTTTATTAGTTTCACATTAAAGATGAATGCAGATGAAAAAAATCACTGATACTCTAAAGTACTTCTGTACTTGTGATGAAATGTTTTGACATTGTTGTACGACAACAAATGCCACAAGCAAATGTAGGAAGTAAAAATAGTCAGTTACTGAACCTGACAATGAATCCGAAAGCAGATTCAGAGGCAGAAGTTCAGTTCTTGCTGTGTTTATGAACCAGGTGCATTAAGAARGTTTGTCAGGGATTCAGATGGCTGTTGGTGGTTTTCTTGTTACTTTTTTGTGTCTAATTCTAACATGTTTAGTGGTAAGAAACATGCAGAAAGATGGCAGGGAAAGGGAAATCTGGACACAAAACAAGGGTGCAGGACTTGGTAAAATATGTGATGAGTGAGTCTGCAGCAATCAGGTCTTTATAAAACAGCTGGATAATGCTCTACTTYTGTAAATCTTTAACACAAAGAAAAGACGAAAGAAGAATCCTGGACAGAAAAAAGGCCGAGGAGCAGCTTGGTGTCACAAAGCAAAGAGGTTAGATGTGTTTTAGGAAACATTCAGGTGTGATGTAACACTGGCACAAGTAAAAACAGCGGAGTCTAATTTATGCAAAACAACAAAAATTGATTATTACAGAAAAATCTCATTGAGAAAACTTTGTATTAATTATCTGTGCACAATTTTAGTGTTGTTTCAGCTGATAACTGGATCAAAATGAACTCTCCCACTTAGAATCTGATCATGTTTTAAAAAAATCAATAAAGGCTTAGAGGTAAAGATTTTTTTTCAGGCTTATACAAAACTTTTTGTCAAGAACAACATCGATGTTAAAGGATATCTTGTGTTTGCACAACACCTTGCTTAATTTGCCTCTTTTTAAAAAATGTTCAGACTATCCCTTCTATATGGAAGCCCATTTCCGCCACCCTGATAAAAAAATAAAACTTGTATCTCATAATTATGACTTAGCTATCTCATAATTATGACTTAGCTATCTCATAATTATGACTTAGCTATCTCATAATTATGAGATACTATCTCATAATTATGAGATAGCTAAGTCATAATTATGAGATACAAGTTTTATTTATTTTTTTATCAGGGTGGCGGAAATGGGCTTCCATACTTCAATGCCAAATGCTGCAAGAGCCTAAACTAAACGTAGAAATAATAAATGTTTATGTGCTTTCAGATGGCATAATATGTTCCTGTTTTAGTTTGATTTCTCTTGCTGTCTGTCCACTAGAGTGTGCCATCAGAACGTGTTATTTCACATGATCCTGTTCTGCTGCCAAACAACACAACAAAGCTTTTCCAGTAAGCTCCAAACCCCTCTTTCTTCTCGAGCCCCCCCCTCCACCACCACCCACACTCCCACGGACACAATTATAGCAGGATGAGAAGCACTTGTTGTTCCTCCACAGCATCTCGGAGCAATTAATACCAGTTCGCCAAGCTGTGCAGTGAGAGGTGGAGTGAGATGAAGAAAAAAAGATGTAAGCAGAGAGAGAGAGAGAGAAATCCTCCTTTCTGTGTGTCAAGAAGGAAGATAGAGCTGTAATTATGACATTGGAGGCTTTGGATATTTTTTTCTCCCCTTTTGTGTGTTAATTTGTGGATTTGTAAGATTTTTACAGATATGTTGAGAGCACACTCTTCTCATTTTTATTTGTGAACTAAGCAGGAGATCATTTGCCTTAAAAAGATTTTTTTAGCACTATGCAGAGCATTTTTAAGAAACAAAAACACTGRTTTAATCAGAGGCTGTTGATGTGATGTAGATTTAACTTTGTGTGTTAGTGATCCAGAAACACAACAGCATCTTTTCTGCTTTCCTTTAAACCAGCTAATCGGCTTATCGTGTTTTCCTTCACATTTAGGAATCAAAGGAAGCGGTTGATGACTTTAACGTAGTTAATATCAGCAGTGGTCAAAGACGCTGCAACCCCCTGAAGTCATCGAAATGTCCTTCTCCGCAGAGATTTCACCGAGTGAAGATGAGAGAAGAAGCGTCTCGTACTTTGAGAGTAAAAAAAAAAAAACCTGCCTTTGAAGTTTCAGTCACAGTGAAGACTCATCAACACATGGCTCAGGGCAAGGTTAGTCTCAGGGTTGGCACTTGCTCCATGTTTGGAAGGCTTGCTCACTCTAGGCCGTGTCACTCAGAAAGTCCTCACAGAGCATYAGAGCCACTGACGGATAGGCCCGCTGACATGTCGGAGAGAAATGAGAATTCAATTATGCTTCATGTTGTGTTTGTTGCTCAAAGCGACGTCTCAGATCATTAGAAGTGAAGTTTGGTGACAGGGTTAGTAACAAATATCTTACCTGTTRCAGGTARCTCTTAGTTTSKAGAGAAACAACTTCCTTCTGACTGGTTTGACAAGCTAACGGCTAACATAAAGAGAATTTTTGACAGCTTAAAACAACTTTCAATGTCAAAACTTTGAAAGGGTTTTCAGGAACTTTATTTTATGTTGGAACAGCTGTGGCAGAATGGTCCTGTAACCCGTGGGTTGCTGGTTCAATCCCTCATTCAATCCGTCTCAGTGGTTGTGTACTTGGGCACTTCACCCACCTTTCCTACTGGTGGTGGTCAGAGGGTCTGGYGGTGCTGGTGCATGGCAGCCCTGCCCCTGTCAGTGTGCCCCAGGGCAGCTGTGGCTACATTGTAGCTYATCACCATCAGTGTGTGAATGAATGAAGTGTAAAATGCTTTGGRGTCCAAGTTCAAGACATTTATTATGAACCTTCATGTTTCCATCTGTTAGATACAGTATTATGCTTATTTGCAAGTGCAGCAGCAAGCTAAGTAATGTGTCAAGGCCACCTACCCCAAGACCATGAAAAAATGGAAACTAGTGYCCTACAACATACAGTATACGTACACAGGTAACTYAATATRTATAGCTAATATTTACAAAATTTCTTTGTGTGAAGACTGGTAAAGAATTTTGGTCCAGAGGCAGATGGCTAGCCTGATAAAAACAGCCCCTTGTCCTACACTTTGCTTCGTRYAGAGGGTCTGGAACCGCAACTATTGAGATGCGATTTCTTGCTGGAGGCGTGGACTCTGTTGACGTTTAAAACAACTGGACCTGATTTACCCAATYGCTAACATTTGCCCGTGATAAATGCAGTGTGCCAGCTCAACTGTGAAGGAAGCTAAGCTAAGAAGCTAACTGGAAATTGTGTGCGCTGTAAACAACAATCCCCTACTGAGAGGAGAGAAATCTGAGCTGAACGAGATGGCTGTAAATGAGAGCTGCAGGCTTTGTGAGACAGCCTTGTCAWCACTGGACTGGCTTAATTCAATTCCTCTGCTGCCATTGCAAATTAAAGCGGCGCAGAAAATCTACATCGCCTTTCACAACTCCTCCCCCTTTTGTCTGATTGGCCTGGTTGAAATTCTACAGGAGAAATTGTTGTCTATGGGAGAAACAGACGGAGCAGAGAAGGGAAACTAGAATTGAGCGGAACTGCGTAGGAAGGCAAGGGCCAGGCTAGCAGATTGCTAACTTCCATTCTAAGTGAGAATAAAAGTTTGACATAGTCCCAGCTGTCTTTGAAGCATTGCAGTATTCACATATCTCATTACATTTACCATTGGATGTTGTTTTACAAATATACTCTTTGTGATTTATTTTGCCGAATTACATTACTRTTACTATWTTACTATRAGTTCAGTTATCTGTGARAGACTCAGAGTAGAGMCGCTGCTCCTCCACATTGAAATAAGCCAGTTGAGGTGGTTTGGGCATCTAGTAAGGATGCCTCCAGGACAGCTCCTTAGGGAGGAGCTTCAGGCATGTCCAACTGGGAGGAGAYCCCGAGAAAGACCCAGGACAMGCTGGAGAGAC